GATTCCGCTCTCATTCTGTGAGCAAAATACGACGAGGAGGCCGAGTTTAGCGTGAAAACTACAATCTATTTCCTAAATTGTCAGACTCTGACTAAAAGCTTTGATGCGTCTCCTGCATGTTGTCGTCTATCTCAACAATCTCCGCCCGGTTCGGTGTTAAACTCTCCAGTCATGCTTTCCGACATGTGTCAAGCAACGCCCCTCTTCCTTTGTAGCTCCAGCGGTGAGGCATCACACAAACAGCCATGAGAAACTTTTCCGCTGGATTGTGAGGACATCCCTGCCCGGAGCGATGTGCTGCTCTGTCAGCCAAGACTCTGATTAAGTCCCAGCAGTGAAGTAATGAGCTGCACAGTGAGAGTCTGAGACGAGACTGACGCACGCAGACACAAAACAGGAGCGTCTGCAGAGCCCAGCGCTCTAACACACCAGGATTTGAGCAGAGCCTCGCTCTCAGTAGAATCGGTGGCCCTGATTACTCAAACTAAAGCCAAACACTCCCCGCCCTGTCAGCAGCACCACTGCAGGCCACGGCATGAATAAGACATGAAGAGCAAAATACTGAGGATGGCTGCGCTGTGTGGCAAATCCTGTCATGTGTTAAAATTAGACGCAGTATGCAGATGAAAAAAAAAACACAGTCACACATACATGAGCTCTGATAACGAGTGTTGCCACGAGGGAAAGTGAGCGGCAAGTAGGTCAGTAAGCGATGGTGAACGTCGGATTGTCTGCGTGTGTTTGTCATCTTGTTTCCTTCAGCTGGTTAAGCCGAACTTTCGATAAGAGCTGCTGTTCCGGGCGGTTTGGCTGAAACAACGGGTCACTGGTGGGGAAGCTGCGGCTGCCTGCGTGCTAAAATCTCCATCACTTCTTTCATTAAATGCATTTGACTCTCGCTGGCAGCAAGTGTTGAAGTTCCTAGAAGAACACCCACATCTCACGAGACAGATCATTGATTCATCTGGAAGCATGTGCACTGGTGTGAACTGCCACTGATGCAGATAACAAATGCAAAGTGTCCACACTGAAGACTGAAAGTAAAGAGGTCAATCCTCTGACTCAGTGTGACCTTAAAGATTATAAACTGTCATCGTCGACTGTTTAATTCCAAACCGCGGGATCAAATCCAGAAACAAACAATTGAATTAACTGATGTTGAAGCTGAACAGAAGCCTCGAGTGGGGGAGGAGGGAGGGAAAACCTACGCTGGACTGTCTGTGAGCTGCCCTCTCAGGTCAGGTTTGCTGTTTGAAATTTACACACTGTCAGTGAAGACACGCTCAGATTTTAGTCTGCTGGTGTTGAGTTTTCACAGTTAGGCTGCTGAAGGAATGTGTGCTATTATTAGAGGTGTGAAGCGCTTTCTACAGTCAGTGATTCCAAAATTCTACATGTTGCTCAACACAGAAACCATCTTGACTAATATAACAGTCCTATAGGCTCACGTTACACCCACTGACTTCCATAATTTCAACTTTGCTCGAGAGATATTTTATTTCCGTCTACCGCAATGCTCACTCCTGGCTCCTGTGGTTGCTATGGAGAAGAGAACACCCCTATAGTTGCTGTTAATTATAAAATCTATTTTTTCCAACTCTGTGAACGTATTTGTTTCCAAGACTCTGAAGCTCCCTGTGACTGAACGCTTCTCGCTGGTATTATTAGTGAACTCGTCCCCTGATGTTTTAACTCACACGCGCTCGTACTGTCAACTTCTTCATCAAAACCAGATGTCTTCTTACTCAGCTGCTCTTCTGTGCCGATGATTCAACAGAAACGGCTTCATGTCCGTCCAAGCTGCGCAAGTGCTCCAACTGTGAGTCACCGGATGATGCCTTTGGGAAAAACGAACGCCGCTTTTACTTCCACTTTGCGGCTCTACGGCGTACCAGCTGCGTCGTCAGGACATAACGCTGATTAGAGTTGGGTGATATAAACATCAAATCGGGGTAGGACCATTTCCTTGATTTGAAAAGGAGCATAATTTACTGTTTATAAGGTGCTTGGAGCCAACCACATCACAGAAGCAAAGCTGTTTCCAACCAATTATGTGGCATTCAGGAGAGACTATTACTCACTGTGAGGAAGCAGAACAACCTGTATGTATGGAGCTATTATGACTCAGTGAGTTAGTAACGTGTCTGTGATGTGGAGACACTTTGCCCGCTGAAAGCAAACGAGAGTCTGAAACAGGGAAAGGCATTAAACGGAGTGATTACGTCTGGTGTCGCTGCCATTCAACACAAAGATCATAAAAGATGCATCACCAGAAGCATCACCGTTTTCTAAGGCGCAATCTGACACCAGCAATTACACCGATCCCCTTGACAAGCAGGAAGAGACTCAGAGAAACACAACTGTATGCGTATATTTCAGAATTTCTTTCTCATATGATGCCATTCTTCTCCAGTCAGATTTTAGGTTCTGGGTTCAAAACAAGAACTTTTAAAGCTTCCTAAGCTGAATGGAAACAGTCACTTATAATTTGATATATATATTTGTCAGCTGATGTGATGGAAGTTACTGCGTCAACATCAACTGTATTTACATTGATGGGAGGTAAAGTGTCCCATTTCTGTGTCTGCACATGAACGCATCATATACTGGTTTCAGAGAGCTGAATAAGCCCTTACCCTGGTTTTACAACCCAGGATGCTAGCTGGAGCACTCAAGAAACCAGTATGCTGCTGCTGACTACCAGCAATCCATCCATCCATCATCTCTACACCTTAATCCTCACTACGGTCATGGGGGGCTGGAGTCTATCCCAGCTGACTCAGGGTGAAGGCAGGTTCACCTGGACAGGTAACCAGTCTATCACAGGGCTACACTTAGAGACAGACAACCAAGCACACTCACATTCACACCTACGGACAATTTACAATCACCAATTAACCTCAGCATGTTTCTGGACTGTGGGAGGAAGCTGGAGAACCCGGAGAGAACCCATGCTGCACGGGGAGAACATGGAGACTCCACGCAGAAAGATCCCGGGTGTCCTCACCGGGACGCCAACCAGAGACCTTCTAGCTGCGAGGCGATGGTGCTAACCACCGAGCCACCTAGCTTCAGCACAGTGAAGAACATAAATACAAATTAAGCGATGCTCCCCACAACACTCTGGCCACCGTCGTCCATAAAAGAACTGGTTCAACTCGTCCACACTGTCGGTATAAAAAGATGCTCTGCTCCCTATCAAAGCTGTCACATGTTGTGCATCTTCATCAGCTGTTCCGTCGTCCTCCATGGTTGCGGTGAAAGCCTGACACCGGTCAAAGAGGATTTATTTTATATTTTTGCTGGTAAACGAGTGGATGAGTCAAATCCATGCTGTGCTGTTGGTATTTAATTTTGCTAAGGCTGCGATAAGCCAAAGTGGCCTCATTCTAATAGTTACAGTCAAATTAATTTATGGCTTGGCTAACGGTTACATGGATGTCAGATTAAATTATGGGTTTGTGCTGTTAACATCACAAACAGTTCCGTGTAAATGCCGTTTGACCACAACCAGGATGAGCTTCGTACTGGTGAGCATGTCAACACAGTCATTATTTGCCCATCACTCATTCTTAAGAACTTCAAAGTCAGAATGAGTTAAAGTCATTTTAAAGATTCTTAAGCTATTATGGCTGCCATTATCTACTAATACGACTTCTGTTATTTTAACAATACCACAAAACGTAAGGAAACTAATTGGCTGTTACTCATTTTCCTTCTTGCATCCCTCAGCCGGAGTTTCACGTCTTGACATGCCAACCTGCAGCCGACCAGCCCACTTAACACGGAGCTATCTGATCAGCCTGTCTTCTATTTGATCTGCCTTTCATCCCAATCCAAGTAACATGATCAAATGCCTGCCTGCTACACGAAATTAAAAAAGCATCCTTCTATTTAACAAAGACCAGATGGTTTATATTATCTGACGCTCTGCAAATGTTAAACACAAGTTAAACTATTACATGGCAAACCGTTTCCTACCGTATATTTCTCCTTTATCAAATAATCCATTACATAATCCATATTCTGAGCTCACAGACGTCCAGTTCAGCATGATTTCTGAGGGCAGAGTTTGAGTTTTGACTGACAGTCCAACCAGCTAAGCTGCTGTTTTCACTTGGCCTGGTCCACTTCGGAGGGGGCCACTGAAGCAAACTTGGTCTTGCACCGTCGTGTATCCTTAACTGACCTCAGCCCTGCCCTGAAATACGCAGTTTGCCCTTAAAAAAACAAATAAAGCAAAGTTTCACTGTCCAGAGAGGCAGCCTGCTGCATGCATATCCTGTTGTAGATATTTGTCAGGAACAGATTTCCTGAAAGTGACAGCCCAGTTCTCGCCAAAAGTGGACTGGCCCTTCTGGCTTTTGCCCTGAAATAGCAGATGGCCTGTCCCAGCCCAAGCTGATAAACACAAATATCATTCCAACTCGTTTTGACTAGTGAACGACAAATCTCTTGCGCTCTAAATCCTTCATAAATCTGACCAGCAGAGTTGTCCGACTATAAAGCACCTTACAGCAACTGGTGGGGACACTGGTGTGGAATGAGTTCAGCACAAAAGGTAAAGGTGTGGAAACCGTATTGTGATTGTTTAAGTGGGACCACGAGGCTTTCAGAGTAGTCCAGGTCTGTGTTTTTAAAGGTGCCATTTCTCTGTAAATTAATCAAAGTCTCACATGTTCTTACAGTCTGCCTCTCAGGTTTTTTTTAGATCAAAATACTGCAAGCATGCTTCATCTTACCATGGCTGTACAACCCCTGGATTTAGGGCTGTTTGCTGTGAAAACCAATGCTTTTTAGTTAGTGTTAGGTAGCATCTGGGTTGAATTCTGACTGATACGTCAAGCTGGGAGGCTATCTAGTCATGGAGGGCTTCAGGAATGGCAGAAGTTAATGTTTTTATACCTTTAACGCTGCTATTTTACACCTCAGGGTTTCTAACAACCACAAATCACAATAAAAATTGATTTTTCAGCACAATTCATTGCATTCAGTCCTACCTGGATCTGCTCCCCCCGAACAGCGGAGTCGCCCAGTAGCGGCTCTGCAGGCGGCGTGTTAATCGTCACCGACTTTTCCGAGCGGCTGTCTTTGCTGCGCGACTTGTGGCGGTCCCGGCTTCGCTCACTGAAAGACAAAGAACGAAGCAAAAACCACGGTTAGTGTTCCTACTGACAACACAGAAGACTTAGCAGGCGATCCACAAGTTCTAAATACGAAGTTCAATGTTGATTAATTCAAATTACTCGATTAGTGGATTAAAGCTGCACTCGGCAAAATATGGAGAAGGCAAAAAAAAATAAAAAATAAATCGTTGCTTTCCCTTTTTTGCTCTCAGCCCCTCCCACCACACATCTGACTAGTGAAAATCTAGAAGCCTGAAAACAGAGCCAGGTTGAGGTGCAGAAGGTTTCCAGTGATGCCGAAATATGCTGCCTACCCCAGCTTTAACCTATAAAATGCCACAGTGCCTATTACGGGTTTCCAGAGTTCAAGGATGTGTTGAGTGAGCACATAACCCTCATGAACTCTGCCCCACATCAACCTCCTCTGTCTGCATCGCCGTCTCTATGAGGCCCTCCGTCCATGCGAGCTGAAACATATGAGCTCCATTAGCCGCACCGACCCCCTGCACTCATGGCCCTAATCCCGCGTACAGCGTCAGTGGCGGATCTCGAGATCCTCCGCCCCAGCATCACCATCGCCACATGGCACGGTGCCCACTGTGCAGCTCCATTACCGGAGAAAAGCTCAACGGCCTCAGTTAATCCCTCATCTGTCTCCGTCCCCCTCCGGCTGTTGACATCTTGGACATATAACAGCACTTTCAGCAGAATGCAAAGATCAAAATGCGGCAAAACTGGTTTTGAGGCCTTATGCAGCGAAATGCCTCAGGTTTGATTTGTATGAGAGCAGCTGTATTTCCCAGGTTTTGTGTTGGAGGGCTCTCAGGCTGAATGAAAGACCGACAGACACCAGGGTCGAGGCTGTCGGATCTCATGCAGATATTACATGCTGCAGATGCTGTAAAGAGATTACTGAGCAAACATATTGGACACGAGCTAAATGAAATACATAGCAAGCCAGAGCTTCTTCTTAACGCCGCTGTCTTTGTCTTGCTAAATGCTAATTGAGTTTCCCGCTGTGTGTAGGCTTGTTGTCTCGTGGTAATCACTTCTTTTGTGTGAGTGACATTGGAACAGAAGTGTAACCAATCTAATTTCCACAGCGCAGGAGGGCTTTTCTGTGTTGCTCTTCATTTAAGACACTCAAGCACATGTTCTTAGGTTTCTATTTACACCCACATTGATGGATTTTTTTGGGCCACTTGAGCGTATTTACACATCAAGCAGATATGGAGAAACATTAGCATTAATTTATTAAGTACTGTTAAACCACAATGATGAGCTGAATGATGTTCAAAGTCACTTATTTCATTTCTTCTCAAGCAACACAGTTTTTATTCTACATCCTAATTTCATATGTTGTTAACTCTGATTCGAGCAGCTTTAATCCTCGCTGTAAAACAACAAATATAATGAAAGCCTGTCGCCGCTAAATGACATGTGGTGCCCATAAATAACAGCCGTACATTAAACTGTAAATGCCAGACACGCAAAATGACCCTCTCACACAATAACAATTCATACGTAATGTACAGGACATCCTGCGGGCTGGCGTAATGGAGGAAACTGTGCGATTGACGGCCGTGGAAACGCTACAGCCTGACAAAGTTGAATTGGATCCAAGTGTTATGATTAAAGGGCGTCAACCAGTCTGCCTTCCGCCTCTATTATGGTGCTTCCTTTTAAATATGGACTCTGTTTCCTACAGAAAATCACAACAGCGACTAAAGTTTCACGCAGTCAGAGAAAGCTCATTTTCAGTCGCCTGCAGCAACCTCCTCCGCTGACAGAGTGACTGACATGTTCTTATCTAATCAATCCAGGAGATTAGCAGGTTGATGGAAGCCTTTAAACATATTACCACGATCATTATTACTTTAAATATTATTACGGCCATAATCAGGACTGTAGTGATGGTTGCTCTGGCGGGAGTGATCATCAGTCAAACGCTGGCACTGATTGCGCTTATTAATTGGGGAGGAGCGCTGCAGAAGAGGGAGCAGGGAGGAGCAGCAGGGATCACAATGCAGCGATCCCACTTCAAAGTCAGCATCAGAATAACAAGCAGCTCTGGGGGAGAAAAGGAGAAGAAGAGCAGAGCGTCGCACAAGACTGGGCTGAAAAGAAAAATATACAGTATGTAGGATAAAAGGTGCATTTCAGGCTCTATCAGCTGGTTGGTGTATTTAACGTTGGTAAATAAGACTGAAACAGGAAGTGGTTTAAACAGTGTGTTTATCTGTGTTAATGGCAGCTTAACACATATTCAGCCATTCTGCGATTCAATAGTGTTGTATTTTAAAAACTGATTTAGAATATGATGAATTAATTGAAAAACTCTGTGCATCATCTGATTGGTTTACGTGTAATAACAACCGGTAGGATAAATGTTTGAAAGATCTAATTTAATTTAGCATATTTCCAAAAAAAAAAAAAAAGGGACTGTGACGTCTTCCACACATTTCAACGACGTGATGTGTTACTCTAACTTTGCACACGGCATTTATATGTGAAATGTTCCAAATAACAATAATCGATATCGACATCTGAAAAAAGCCGTATCGATAAAAAAGAAGCAAAGGAAACACATAGGTCTAATGTGGGCTTCTTCTGAACAGTTTTCACGTTCTCATTTCTCAGTGTGAACAAAAATTAAATAACGACATGCGTAATATCGGTTATTGGCGATATCAGAAATCCAAATATTGGATGTCGGTATCGGCCGGAAATGTTTAATATCGTGCATCACTAATTTAAATACAGTAAATAACAGTGGAAATAAAGCAAAATTCATTCTGTTTTTAATTTGTTTTGCTCTCATAAAGTACCAATAAAAATAAAGTTCTGGATCGAAAGTGGCGACGATAAAAGCTTCACATCCTGGCTTTGACATTTTTGTGTTTTTATTCAGATTTGCCTTTTAGTCATGGCTGTTTTTGGTTAAAGGTTTACAAAATATTGAGACTTTGCCGTATTTTTTTCAGCAGGAAAACTAAGGAAACTATATCATTATTATACATCTTTGTTCATGAAAAGAAAAACCACGATGTAGTATTAACACAGTGAGGAAGCCCATTCTGGATGCTATTAGCATTAGCAGCACTACTTTCAAACTACCTAAAGAATGTTTGCATTATGTTCTGTTCAAATGTTTTCAGATGAGACAACATATAATACAGATATATCAGTGAGGGTCAGGAGTCCTGTTCACATGCATACAGTCTGTGTTATGTCCATTTGTGTCGCCCAGCAAAGCACGATTCCTTGTGGAAGTCATCTCGTAGTCAAAAACAAGACGTAAGCCTGGTTCCCACCAAGCTGGCAGGACTACAAATGTGTGAGGAAAAGGTGCAAAGTCGATGCGAGCTCGACCTCCGAAACTGGGAACAAGAAGCATTTTGAAATGGGGTAATTGTGTATGCATGCAGACAGGAAATCCAGAGGTGAGCAGACCTGTGGGCAGCCAGGGAGTGGTTGAACAGATTGGCCTCTGTCTACCAGCCCCTCCTGCTCCTTTCCCCTTCAGCAAGCTTCGGGGGGTGATGGTACTGTGTGGAAACCTCACTCCCAACACACACTCCTGCTCCCCCCTTCCTCCCCCTTCCCACATCCTCTTCCTGCCTCATTAGCATGCAGCCGGCTCGTTGGTATTCCAACAGTGTGCCGGCGCTATGATTTGATTAATGGAATCTGACTTCCAGCGTGGATCCCTGAAATGGGTATGGCTTTTTGGAACAGTGAGGATGGGAGGAGGGGTAGGAGGGGCTCTGTGAGGGCAGAGACGCCTGGCGAGCTGGGGCAGAGTCCTGCCAGTTCGGCTCTGGAAGCATCATTTCCCCCCCAACACCTGAGGATGAGTGTGATCGCATTCTCCACCTCACACAGAGGGAGAGCGGTGGCAGGGAGGCTACTGAAGCACAGCCAACTAGGGTGGCAGGCCAAACTGTCTGTGGACCAATTTGTTCTGTGTGTGGCTGGCAGGGCAACCCACACACCTGGGTGACACAGAACTTTGAGGCAACGCAGCCAAAAGTACTAGTGGGTGGCTCGGCCGCCGCCAAATCGGAAGAGTCATGAAGCAAAAACTGACTTAACCACACACTCAACGAGGTCATCGGAAGCTCATAGACGCCGACAGAGGAAGGACAAGAGCAAACAATCCAGTACTGTGTGTGTGATGGTGTTATAAAAGTACATTTTGACTTAATATCTGAACTCACACACCAAAGTTCCAGGAACGTTAGCTTCATAAATGTTGACAACCCCCAGTAAATTGTGATTTATGGTTCCAGAGCAGAATCAAAGCCCCGGGACGATGAAGGGAATGATGCATCAAAAGCATCTCAAATGTCGTCCTCTGCAAACATGGACAACAACACCTTGACTTCAGTCTATTAGTGGTGAAACTTCCCAGGCTGCTGCACCCTGACTATTGTCAGCCACAAACTACAAGCAAAGCAACCTGTAGCGAGCTTATAAAAAATGCTGGTTGTACAGCAACACTTGGGAAAATCCTGAGGGGTAAAACCATCTCCCTGAAACTTAACTCACACTTGGTTCTTCCAGGGGAACACAGGCAGGGACACTCTGTTCCTTAAAATGTTCCTGTTTCAGCTGCAGGTTTCCTCTTAAACATCACATCCTGCTTAAATGTTGAGCTGAGCAGGTCCAACAAAGCTCCACTTCTTTAGTTCAGGCGTCTCAGTAGTGGTCCTTGCTGCTCGCTCATACATTCCAGCGAGTGTAGCGACCATCAGACGTGACAAAGTGCCCCGTGGCCTGGATTAGCTTCATATAGATAATACAGCAGCAAGGTGACACATTCCAGTGACGTGACGTGTCTCCACAGGCTGGACATGTCACACTGTACAGTCCTTAAACCACCACAGATTGTTTAAACAAAGGCTGGCATACTTTAAACATACAACTAATAGACTGTAAATTCTCATATAAGAGCCAGTACTCAAATATTGGCTGTAAGACCATGTAGCCTATCCTGTGTCCAACACTGGCCTCAGTGGTGACTCCTGCAATACTATGTTTTTCCAGCCAACACTACTTTTTACAGCAATAACAGGAAGGCTGGAATTATTTCATTGTACAAAATCTTTTCATTAGACTTGCCTTCTCACTAATTAAGCAAGAAAAATACAACAGTGGACACCAGTAACCTCTAACAGAAGTGTCACCCAAGAACCTCCAAATGGTATTATAACTGTGAATGAATTAGTTTATATTACTCATTTAGCCCCATGTGGATTCTGTGTGCCGCCCCGTAATTGGAGTTGCAGCAATCAAAGGAGCCAATTTTCCACATGAGCGGCTGCTAATGTGAGATTTGCAACTTAATAATCATTTAAATACTCAATATTGAAAAGAGTGAAGGAGTCCAGCTTTGGGGAACTTTGGGGAGCAAAAACTTAAAATTGGCCAAAACCACCCTGGTCCTAAAAGTGGGTTAAAATCCCCCAAGTAGAGGAGAGGCAGGACAGCTATTTCTACAACCGAACTCTGAGGATTTACTCAGGAACAAACCTATTTTAAACATCTATGATTATGCACTCGCTGCATGCTGTTTCCAACAAGTCCTGAGTTATGGAGTGAAATCCACATAAACAGCTCAGTTAATTATGAAGCTTTAAAATCGAGCTGGATGCACGTCCGTCGCTGTCACACCCACAAGCACCGGGAAGATTTCTCTCTTGAGTATTAACGTTTTGCTTCGGTGCAGCTGGATTGAAAAGGACTCACTGATGCACATAAAGAAAATCGGTGTCATCAGCATGTTTTTGGCTGCTGGTGAACATCCACAGACAGAGATGCCACGCTGCCATAACTGAACAGCCGAGGGAATCTTCTCTGGAAGTATCCCGGACACCAGGGGAGGATTGTCTGACACAGGAGGGAGGCAGAAAGCCAGCGATGAGAGGAAACAACTCCAAAAAAACCCTCCACCTTCTGTTAATGGAAACCTAAGCCAATCCAGTTCCATTCTTCTTTCATATTCTGACCAATTACGTTTAAAATGGACTCATAAACATACATCCACACACTAACACAACGGCCGGATTGTGCTTTTGTGTTTATTTTTACGGGCGCGTGCACACAAGTATGGAACACACTCCCACGTGCCTGCATCTGTTCCCAGCATCAGAGTAATTAGACAACAGCGATGCGGAACTGCCTCACGCGTGGCACCCCTTGGCGTAAAAAGATTACCTTCACATGAGGACGGCGAGGGGTTTCAAAGGCAACAATTTAGTTTTTTGTATATGAAATTAGAGGCCAGCCGGCGGTTTTGGCACCGTCGTGGTAGGAGTGGAGGAGCAGGGGAGCAGAATGGCGCCTGGCAGGGATGCCCATGTGTTCCCGTCCAAGTTGCTGTCACTCACTTGAAAGGCTACAGAAACAGCAAAGAAACGAAGGGTACAAGCCTCCACCGCTGGGGCGACCGCTATCCATTTCCAAAGGACTGACCTCTCCCCCCCTATCTTTGATTTCAAACAAAGTAAAACCACTTTTGCTCCGTGTAACTTTGAGCTACAAGGGCACATTCCAGCCCTGGGGAATGCGAGTGAGCGTGAACAAGTGATACGCCTGCGCCGACCCATCCTCAGAGAGTACAGCAGAATCCATTTAAGACAAGGGGGAGGGAGAGGGGCACCAAAGAGAAGGGGTCAAGAAGGAATGAGAACAGGGGCAGCTGCTGCATTCATATCACGGCGGCCACATGGGAGCAAAAAAAAAAAAATGAGCGTGGATGTGATGAGGAGAAGGACAGAGATAAAGAGGGCAGAAGGAGACGGAGTGAAGGGGAACGAGACTGTGACAGAAAAGTCCCTAAAACGACAACAGGTGGCAGCGAAAGAGGGAGCGGCAACCCACGGAGATATATTGCGAACAAGCCGGAGGGGGCCGTCGGTGACCCGGGAGGGGCTGTTGTGGAACAAGAGCCTCCTCTCCGATGTCCTCGCTCTCATCTCCTCTTAGGCTCTCAACGTATCCGCTGAGCCATCAGTCAGTCAGGCCTCTTCAGCACCTGTCTCCTGCTGCCTTCCTGAGGCCTGTCAGCCGCAGTCATTTCGCCGCTGACAGACTAATGCGCCTACACGAGCAGCGGGCTGCACACATGCTGGGCCAGAAGGGAACTCAGAGGGGCGGGATCACGGCGGCGGACGGAGGAACATGTGGAGAATGAAAGAACGTTGCTCAAGATTCTGTTTTTCTTCACTTGTCCCCAAAAAGATTCTGGATGTAAATATTTAAACACTCTCATAAAAAACGTCTCATCTGTACAACTAACTGCTAATTAATGAGCGTCCTTCACATAACTCTACAGGAAGAAGAACTTTGTGGCCCTTTCTCTAATTACATATCGGAGTGAAGGCTTCAGCACATATACACAAATAAGACTAATTACATTCAGAACAGATTCATTCTACCCAGATGTTTCCTCCATATATGACTAATACCAGTTCTCCTTCAAGGTAACTTTAGGTTAGTTTATCCTCTACATCTGAAAGCATTCACCAAAAAAGTCTGAAGTCAGAATGTCAGATTTCTGCAGCTTGGATCCCGGTTATGACTACAAAAGACGATGAACATTTGATGTTCTTTGCAATTAGGCAGAAAAACTTCACATTTCCAGTTGGAAAATATCAACATTATGAGCATCAAGTCCTGCAGTGTGAACGTCGCCAATCTGTGTTCAGTCAGATAATACGCCGTCATCCTGATTGGTGACATTAAATGTCATGTCGGAGTCACAATCCAAGGCTGTCGCTATGTTAAGGCTGTTTTTATGGGTTCTGTTGGTTTTCAAAAAAAACCTGTCCGATAGCGAGGTTTTCGCATCGTTAAGGGCCCGATTATCGAGTCACAACTAATCAGGCCCCTGTTTAGGAAGAACAATGTGGAAGTTCCTCAATGCCGAGCTAAGTCATGGTCACAGTCCACATTCAAGAGGAGAAACAGGAGGAAGCATAATGACTGAGAAGCAGGACTTACCCATGCCTGTGGGACCCCCGGGAGCGCCCAGAGTAGTAGGAATAACCCGAGTACGTGGACTCTGTATCCATGGCGACGCAGTCCCGCTGAGGCAGCAGGGCTCGGCTCTGCTCGACCGCCGGCGGACGCAGCGGAACCTCGTGCGCTGTCTTGTCGAGCTACAGGTGATCGATCGGCTCGCTCAGGAGGCCGACAGAGGCGGTGAGCTGCCGGCAGTCAGGCTTGAAAGCGACCCTGGGGGCGCCCGGTGAGGAAACATCAACCTGGAGGGCGAAAAGCAGGCGGAAGACAGACGGGACAATTTGAATTCAAAATGTGAAGCGTCTGGGAAACCTGCCCACATCTGACTGTGAGAGACTGGAGAAGGAGGCAGTGTGTCTGACATCCACTAAAGAGCACATCAGGCATTCAGGTCACAGGCTTGTTCATCACATCTACTTTTCCCTCCATGCATAACAGCTCAGATGCGCCCGTGTTATCTGCAGCTGCATTACAATCAGTATTTCCGAGCTCCAGACCTGCACAGTGACAACACTTTACATTACAGGCAGCTCTCAGGAGGATACACTCCAGCTGAGCGCCCCAGATAACAGAAACACCGCTACCCTGAAACAGCAATTTGCTCTTATTCCCATATGGCTGGCGAGTGTTGTTCTGAGGCAGTTTTAAGTCTCTGACACACGGCTAACAATTTAAGCCTGACAGTGACAAGCTCGGAGAAGAATTCAGTGGGAGCGCTGCAGAGATAAAAGCTCGGCTTCTGAAGGAGAAGCTCGGTGAGGCAGAGGTGTCGCCAGAGCTGTGGTGGAAGACTGAAACAGGAAGGAATTCACAGAAATGCTACAAGAGATAATGGCAAGGACATGCTTCACTTCTAGAGGGAAACTTTTTCTAATTAAGCCCGACATGATCGATGAGCTTTCTTAGAATTTGAAGTTTCCTCTCCGGTTGTTAATTAAACCCATAAAAATTCATCTGTTGGCAGTGACATATCCACAAGTTTTTCTATTAAATCTCTTTCTGCCTCATAACGTCTTAGCTGTAGCTCTACATTGTTGTCTCTTCTAGAATATGTCGATCTATAAAGTCCTTTCTCTGCAGCTCGAGCACACCAGCTCACCGACAGCTCTGATACAGAAAGCTCCACCTTAGTGCAGGGTTGGTTTCTACACAGGTTGTTCCACATGAGCCCAAAGACGTCTGAATCTGTGTTTGTGAGACTGCCGTTGCTACACTGCACTTTCATTTGTAGTTTTGTTATTTTAAACTTTAGCAGTGAGGTAAAGTTTCAGTTCAGTGTTTGTTCTGTAATAGATTTAAAACGTCACACAAGGAAAACGGCATGAATTTGTAAAACTCTTGATACAACAGTTCAAGCCCGCTTTACGCTGCATATAGTCAATTTGCAATTTGCTAATTGCAGTGATTTCAATTTAAAGTCAATTAGTTTTCATCCCGAGCCCATCATGGACCTTTAGGGGGCGACTGGTCAGCGTGTGCAGCAAAGACAATGAGTCTGTGTTCCTTTATTTGACAGAAGTCGATGAATTTTCCTCTTATTTCTGACCATTTGGTAAACAAGAGTGTCTATTATGGCTGAGTAAATGAAACCACATTTAAAAGAGCTTGTCAGAAACTCTACATTCGTCTGGTTATTGCGTTGGTGCTTCTAATCTCTCTTTGGAAAAACCAATAACTCCTCTAAGCAGAAAAACTATTTTCCTCACAACACATGCTACCATTTAACGCTGCAAACACAGAACGAGTCGTTGGAGTTCATCCTAAAATACAGGTAACATGAATATAATATACTTTACATGGACTGTGCTCACATCTCTGTGCAGATAGATTCGTTAAGTGCTTATTCAAAGCGTGATTGCATAAATAAGTGGCTGCTAAACAGGGAAACTAAGCTGCATTTTTCAAGCGCATCAAGCTGCAGAAGAAAACGCTGACAGCACATCTGCAGATGCAAAAGTCAACTCAAGCATCAAATGGTCTGAAATGTGCAAAGTCACAGTGAAAGCCCAGACCGCATTACGGGGAATGTAAGAGGCTGTTTGCAGAGTTTATCGGTGCGGTCGGAGTCAGACGCTTTATATCGCAAAGCAAAAGACGAGCGCTGCGGAGAGGTGCTTAAACGAGATGAATCTGACGGCACATATTTGAGTAATTGCACAAAGGGAGAGCAGAGTGTGAGTCATCGGCAGCTCGAGGTGTGCTTGTAAACACACACACTCATATTTCTAGAACTGCTCAGAGGGAGATGAAAATGCGCAGGTAGTTAAAACTTAACTACGAAAGACCTAAATCAAATTTTGGATCAGATAGCACTCCTCCTCTGTACATTGAGCCCGCCGGCCTACGCTTGGCATTAAACAGCCATGAGCCCGATAGAGAGGAGGAGGAGGAGGACACGGCCGGTACGAAGCCTCAGCTGGAGCTTGTTCAAATAACATTTTGAGGTTAAGCATTTCAGGTGAAGTATGGACATTTTTATTTGTTACTCTGAATATGCATTAGTCATCAGAGTGCTTTAAAAGCTTTCATAACTCCTGCTCACTTTGTCCTGGCAGGCTGCAGAACTCCCATCGAAACCCACACTGAAACTCTCAGGCCAGACTGGGAGCGCAAAGATTTATGGCTGATTTATGGCTGCAGCCGCCTTCAAGGTGATGAGAAACTGAACAAACTGTCTCCCTTCATAACTCCAGGAAAAAAAAAAAAAGAAAAAAAAAGTCACTTAGTGCACAAACTGCAGCTCTTATCTGCCACCAGGAAGGAAAACACACATCACTGGGTCCAAAAATACACCGTTGTGGCACCAAACATCTCGAGCAGCCCGGTGCTAATGAGTGTGGCGTCGGCACATCTGTGACTGACACATACTGTTGTGTACGTGTGTGTGTGTGTGTGTGTGTGCATGCTTGCGTGACTGTCACACACTCCTGAAAATGCTTTGAAGGTTGCGCAACTGCATACTTGGATGTGCTCGTTCTGCAAATCATTTTTAAATGCTTGAATCATCCTCGCATGGCGACAAATCCTCCCTCGACTGGTTCTCTGCAGCTTCACCACCAGCCAGCTGCAGCACCTCCGTCAATCAGGGTTTCTACAAGTCTCAGTCTCCTCCAGTGTAAAAAAAAAAT